ACAACAGTATAAAATGTACTTAAAATGATAGAATAATAAGTAAAATAATCATAAGAATACATGTATAAGTTAATTCTTTAAACTGAACAAATATATCATATATTCCTTTTGAGACAAACGCTTATATTATTAGCTAATAAATAGGGAGAACAAAAAGAAAACAAAAAATTATAATTATTCTATAGATAGTACCAATAACTAGACAAACCGTTCCAACAACTAAAGCCAATAACTTATGATATTTAGTATTAAGTCATTTTATAATGATATAAAACACAGTGACACTTTCGTTAGCCCAAACCGTCCACTTATTTTATAACTGGTAATTATTGTTACTTTTTAATGTATAACTAATGTATATATAATTGTATGTATTATATTATTTAAAAATTTATGTAAAAAATTAATCTGAATTATGAACAGTGTTGAAACATTACAAACTTGTGTCGTATTTATACAAAATCATCTTCAAAATCAATATCCTTGTCGATATTATTTTTATACACTAGACATTACAAACGCGCGCTGCGCGCGCGCTATTCATCTTTTTCAACAAAAACAAAAATTAATACTATAGTACTATTATTATAGTATTATTGCTGTTACACTACTGTAATATTTTTAACTTCTTGATACACAAATCAAAATGATCCTCGCTGTGAAATCAATACAATAACAGCTATTCACGAAGTTAGCGCAGCGAGAAAACCAATCAGCATTGTGCAAAAGCGTCAGCAATAAACTTCGAGAAAATTTCGAGAGATGCGAATATCGATGTCATACCTTTTTTTAGAAAGGACGAGCACGCAGCACGCGCTTCGCGCGTGCCTTCCGCATTCCTTGGACATTTCAATAAACTATTATTTATTATTTTCAATATTTAATTATTTCGTTCTATCAAATTAAATTATCTTCACTTGTTTTAAATCTTCAAATATTAGTCTAACTCGTCAAGATTGTACTGACTTTTGTAAATCGTATATTTTTCTCTTCGTTCCTTCCCTTCGTTCCTCCCTCTTCTTTTACCTACCTTTCTCACTCTCACTTTCTTCCCTCAGTCATTTCTTATCCTCTTTTCCTTTTTCTTTCCTTCCTTTCTCTTCTTCTACGGTTCCTTCCTTTTTTCCCATCTCTCTTCTCCTTATCTTTATCGTCATTGTCATTATCATCATTATTATCACTATTGTCATTATTATTATCACCACTACTATCATCATTACCAATATGTCTTTCTTCATGTCCTTCTTTTATTATTAATTAAGTACTTCTTGTAAACATAATTTTTATTTAATTAAACAAATTATTATCCAAATAAACTTTCAACGAATCCCAAAAACGTATTCGTGATAGTGCAATGTACAATTGTCCATGATTAAAAATGTCTTTACGAAGATCTGCTACAATTCAGAAATGTGTCCTTGTGATTTATTAATTATTAGTCATTGTAAATGCTAATTTCACAGGAAATTGTCTTTTTTGAAAAAAAAAAGAATTGTCTTCTTTTGCATTTTATATAAAAAAAAGCGCTCAACTTTGACAATAGCTTTTATTGTTAATATTATAAATAGTAAATAAAAGGATTTTATATTTAATTCATTCCTATAACAATGATGAAATTTATTAACTTTCCGTTACTAAAAACTTTTCTATTTTCCTTAAAAAAAGACAAAATGACGTTTTTGTTGATTTATACCAATTCTCGATGTCAAAACATTATTAATTTTTATGAATTTCGATTATCTTATGTTAAAATATTTTGATAAATATTTTATTACAACAATAATATGCTAAGTATGTATTTATTAGCTTATCATGTTTAATAAAATTCATTGTAATAGAAAACTTACCTAGTCGAACAGTAATCTAATATTATATAATTAGTTTTTTCTTTTAAATTTTTTTATCTAGAATAAAATTATTTGATCAATTTTAGACTATCGAGCGTATTAATATTCTATCCACATAGAACAAACCCTCCATTAGACATCGATCATGGATATTCGGAACATCCATTAGACTTCCAGTAGACGTCCACAAGAAATCCACAGTTCCTATTCGTGGAAGCTATGAGATCTCTATTAGAGGTCTTCCATAGACGTTAGGTGGATCGCTAATAGAAGGAGTGGAGTCTCGGTAGATGATCCACACGGAACAAAAACCTCTAATACTTGTCCATCACCTCTATTAGAGATCCATCATGGAGGTTTGTAACTTCCATTAGACGTCCATGAATCTACCAGAAGACCTCTATAAAAAAAGTTAATAAAAAAATTTTTTATGATGCTGAACAAAAATATTTCTTTGAAGGAACGAAGCGCACATACATACGTAACGTGCAATGGAACTAATGAAATCTTTTTTTATCTTATAAATGTGGATAACGTAACACAATTTTTCCGAGTCACCCATCCTTGTAGTATACATCGAGAGCTTGTTTCACCTCCGTGATTAGCTGAAATCAGATACTAGAACAATAGTATAATTAAACTTAGAATTTTGATGTAAAAATATGACAAATCTTTAATTAGTAAATGTTATCACATTATCATAAGATTCAAATAATCTCAATGTCAATATCCTGAGCGTATGTAATTTTTATAGATAATTTAATTATATACATAAAGGAAAATTATATGTTATATGTTATATGGATTTTTAATATTATATTCCATGAGTAGTGTTTATAAATTTACGTATATATTCTATTTACTCATTTATATATTTATATATTTATATATATATATATATATATTTATATTTATATATTTATATATATATATATATATATATATTTATATTTATATATTTATATATTTATTGAGCGTATTAAATACTTGAGATATTTCTCTTATTCGACAATATATATTTTCTTGTATTTGATATAATTTATATACAATCAAATACGAATAAATAAGATACATGCAATAAATTTTTAATTTATTTATAAGTTATTTATTAATAATTTATTTATATATTTTCAATTTTTATCATAAAATAATCATCTACAAAGGATCTAAAAATCTCCAATTAAGCTCTGTATGTGATCCATGAAAGTTTCATGAAACGTCTGTAATTCATCCATACAACCTCCATAAGACGTCTAATAAAGGTTTGGTAGAGCTCCATTAGAGCTCCATCATGGAGATAGTATAGATCTCCATTAGAGATTTATCTGACTTTCATCATAAAGATAGATGTCGCATGGAGATCGTGGAGGTTATGTGGACTTCTAATAGATATCATGTTCCGGGCAGGACCATCCACCGTGGAGATTCGCTGGACGGCTAATGGATGTCTACGGTGGAATCCTAGAGCACCGTCCACCATGGAGATTCGCTAGACAGTTAATGGACGTCTATCTCACTTCCATTACAGAGATAGACGTTTGATGGAAGTTTAATGGAGTCATGGAGGTTCAATAGATGTCCACTGAAGGTTATGTTCTGGTTATGTCTCATTTTAACATTTATCATTTATTATATATTTTATCATTTATTATATATAAAATAAAAATACACGTCTGTACACGTCGATGTCCGTCAATCAAATCTCCCGTCCGTTATTCCATATCAGCTCTCTTCTCTATATTTTTCTCCTTTGAGATTATTCTTAAAACAACAATCAATATCAATATAACAAATATTTCAATTCTTACAAACAAATACAGTTTCGAAGGAGAACCTGTTTGCTTTATTATTTGTCTCTTGGCTATTGTCTTGATCGTTAAATGTTTCGAATTATGTTTTTCAACCCGCAGGAATTCGATTTTATAAAGGTTTGAAAATAATGATCATAGAATATGTATCTAATTCTAAACAATACAAAAAGAAATTATTACAAGAGAATATAGAAAATAAATCTATTCTGTTGAGCTGATATTGGATATGAATACACGTCTTCGTATTTGCGTGTATTTAGTACGATTCTCTGAGAGTAAATAATTTGGCGAAATCCAAATATTGTCGAAAAAATGTGGCCGTGAAAGTCATGATATAATTGCCACAATGTAAATCAAATTTTAATATAATATAAAATTTTTGTTATGACGTGCTGAATGGGCAAATGAGAATCAGCGCTGTTTACAATGAGCAATTGACATTCTTTATTACAATTTAAAATTATAAAACATACGTTTCGACTCTAATTTGAGTCATCTTCAATGCATAAAAGACCGTTAGAGTTCAAGGCGTGCGAATGCGCTGTATGATGTGCTGCTCGGTGTGAACCGCGCCGCACTTCTGCGCGTGCTTTATTCGGTTTAGTGTGAACTGTTCATCCAATAATTGATAACCCTTTAAAGATTGTCTTGTCTCTTTAAGGATGACATGGTTATGCGGTTATAATAATTCTGGTTAGTGAATTTAACGTCAATGAGCACGTCGGATGAACGCAGTATTTTGACTTTGTCTTTTACACTGTCTTAGTGTCGGTCCACAATAAGTATTTAATCTTTAAGCCATAAGAAATTGACCAATTATAGTCGAGTATTCTTTTCATATTCGATTATAATTGGTCAATTTCTTACGTCTTAAAGCTTAAATCACCTATTGTGGACCGACACTTATACACTGACGATGATTCAAACTAGAGTCAAAACGCGCAAACCAATCACAGCGAAAGAACTAAAAGAAAACTCAGTCATTCTGTTCGTTTTTTTGCTGTGATTGGTTCGCGTGTTCCGTTCCGCTGTGGATTTCCGCGTCATGGGACACCGGCCTGACTTTAAACCCAGTACAGCCAGTTCAGTGAACTCGTACACTAAGTTCTGTTGCACTGAAATAACGGACAGTATCGTCACAGTAGATACAGTAGGTTCACTCTATGTCGGCACCTTTGATCTGAAATAAAATGGTCGACCATAATGTTGAGTATGCAGCGCGGGCAATTTAAAGTAATAAGCATAAAATAAAATAAAACTATATATGTAATTAAAGAGAAACAAGTGCAATAATTTATGCAAATTAATAAATACAATAAGAAAAAGATTATTCAAAATTTTTAATTTGCATTTAATTCACATATAAGTTTATTTCCTTTGCCAATATATGTATGTACATACAAATATAAAAAACACAATTATTAAATATAAAAAATATATATTTATGATATGTGTATATATTATTGTACATATTAAAAAATAAAATTTTAGATAAAAATTAGAGTTTAAAAAGATCTGTTAATTGATAAGATTTATGATGTGTGTGTGTGTGTGTGTGTGTGTGTGTGTGTGTGTGTGTGTGTGTGTGTGTGTGTGTGTGTCAATTACAAAAGAAATGAGATTGTAAATTTTTTTAAGTTTGTTCTTTTCATTGTCTTATTCTATGTAGGTGTATGTTAATTTCGATTTCACTTCTTAATAATTCTTTCTATACTTAATTTTCCTTCTTTTACTAGAGTCTAAGCGAAGATATAATATCCATATATAATATCTAAAATAGAATATAATAAATATTCAGTTCGATATCCATTTTTTTATTTATGTTTATATAAATTTTGCACACTGTAAAATATTTAAATTGTTGTGTTGGCCTTTGACAAATTTATACCACAGTACTGTGATTATAGCATGTACAATTTTTTTGAACCGCCATATTGAGTGTGCATTTCTGTCATGCGCGAGTGACAACCATTTCACGGATATTGAGTAGAGTGAGACTGCGGTCCTATTCACGCTCAAAGCACTATTAGCGTCATTCTATCCTTGTTTTACATCTAATGAACAATAAAAATAGAATGACGTCAAAAATGTTTTGAGCATAAATCGGACCGCGGCCTTATACTGTGGTATCATTGACGTCATTTCGAGAATAGAAAACGCTTTAAGCCAGCGACACACGATGCTTTTTTTTTTGTTGTTTGCTAGCTGGATTTGCTTGCTTGTTGAACTCTTGTTTTTAATTGATATATTCTTTTACATCTAAAAAAATATATCAATCGAAGACAAAAGCTCAGCAAACACACGAATCCAGCTAGCAAACTAGCAGAAAAAGAGCATCGTGTGCCGCTGGCTTTAATATACAATGAGGAGCATAAATGAGGTCCTTTTTCGGTGTAGCTAGGAGTAGATGAGCTCGCCATCTGTAGATTATCGTTGCACTTACTTTCCGAGGACCAGCGTCAAAGATCGAACGCATCTCAATTTCTGCATTGCCCGTACGTAAAAGCTTTAATACGATTATTTATGCAATTATTATTTATATATAATATAATTCATGCAATTATCACATTTACATATAATATAATAATTATATTTAATTATAATT